CTGAGACCCCAAACCCAGCCCGGGACCCCAAACCCCAAACCCCAGTCAGATCCTGTGACCCCATCACACTGACCACACCCCAATGTCACCCCAATCACACCCGGTGACCCCTGACCCCAGACACACCCGGTGACCCCTGACCCCGTTCCCACCTGCAGGTCGTTCTGGGGGTTCCAACCCTGATCACACCCGGTGACCCCATGACCCCACTCACACCCGGTGACCCCACTCACACCCGGTGACCCCGGTGACCCCGTTCCCACCTGCAGGTCGTTCTGGGGGTCCCAGCCCCAATCACACCCGGTGACCCCGTGACCCCACTCACACCCAGTGACCCCCTGACCCCAGACACACCCGGTGACCCCTGACCCCACTCACACCCGGTGACCCTGTGACCCCACTCACACCCGGTGACCCCGTGACCCCGTGACCCCGGTGACCCCGTTCCCACCTGCAGGTCGTTCTGGGGGTTCCAGTCCGAGTCGAAGATGATGCAGGTGTCGGCGGCCGTCAGGTTGATGCCCAGGCCCCCGGCGCGGGTGCACAGCAGGAACACGAAGCGGTCAGAGTCCGGCCGGCTGAAGCGGTCGATGGCCGCCTGACGCAGGTTCCCCCGCACGCGCCCGTCGATGCGCTCGTACGGGTACCTGCAGGGGACACGCCCCCAGGGGTCAGGGACACGCCCCAAAGAGGCAGGGACACGCCCCAAAGGGGCAGGGACACGCCCCCCAGGGTCAGGGACACGCCCCCAAGGGTCAGGGACACGCCCAAAAGGGTCAGGGACACGCCCCCAGGGTCAGGGACACACCCCAAGGGTCAGGGACACGCCCCAAAGGGTCAGGGACACGCCCCAAGGGTCAGGGACAGGGTCACGTTTTTCCTGCTTCTGCCATTTTTTACAGGTTTTTTGTTTTTTCCCAAATTCCCGTTTTTTCCCCCCAATTCCCCTCACCGTTTCTGGGTGAGGAGTCCTTCAGGATGTCCCATAACTCCATTTCTCCCCATTTTCCCCCATTTTTTTGCCGTTTTTTCCCATTTTTTTCCCATTTTTTACATTTTCTGTTTTTTTCCCAAATTCCTGTTTTTTCCCCCCAATTCCCCTCACCGTTTCTGGATGAGGTAGTCCTCCAGGATGTCCCAATTTCCCTGTTTTTTTCCCCATTTTTCTCTGGATTTTCACCATTTTTTTGCCGTTTTTTCCCAATTTTTTCCCATTTTTTACATTTTTTTCTGTTTTTTTCCCAAATTCCCGTTTTTTCCCCCCAGTCCCCCTCACCGTTTCTGGATGAGGTAGTCCTCCAGGATGTCCCATAACTCCATTTCTCCCTGGTTTTCCCCATTTTTTGTCCATTTTCCCCCATTTTTTTGCCGTTTTTTAGCCGTTTTTCCCATTTTTCCCGTTTTTCTCATTTTTCCCAAATTCCCGTTTTTTCTCCCCAATTCCCCTCACCGTTTCTGGATGAGGAGTTCTCCAGGATGTCCCAATTTCCCTGGTTTTTTCTCATTTTTACCCATTTTTTGTCCATTTTTTTGCCGTTTTTTAGCCGTTTTTCCCATTTTTTTCCCATTTTTCTCATTTTTCCCAAATTCCCAGTTTTTCCCCCCAATCCCCCTCACCGTTTCTGGGTGAGGAGTTCTCCAGGATGTCCCATAACTCCATTTCTCCCCATTTTCCCCCATTTTTCCCCCAATTTTTTCCCTGTTCTTTGTCTGTTTTTTCCAGGTTTTTTCCCATTTTTCCCATTTTTCCATTTTTCCCAAATTCCCGTTTTTTCCCCCCAATTCCCCTCACCGTTTCTGGATGAGGTAGTCCTCCAGGATGTCCAGGCAGCGCACCATCTGCGAGAAGACCAGCACCTTGTGGCCGCCGGCGCGCAGCCGGGGCAGCAGCTTGTCCAGCAGCACCAGCTTCCCGGCCGAGCGCACCAGCGCCTGCAGCGCCAGGTCCGGCGGCGCCGGCGACGGCAGCGACGCCCGCAGCTCCGCCACGATCTGCTCCTCCGCGCCTGGGGGACACCGGGGACACGCGGTGACCACCGCTGACCAGCACTGACCAGCAGTGACCAGCAGTGACCACCCCGGATCTCCAAACGTCAATGGTTCCTTCAATGGTTCCATCAAAACAACAATGAGATCTTTTGGTGACCATCGATGGTTCCATCAAACCACCATGGAGATCGTCTGCTGACCATCACTGACCAGTGGTGACCAACGGTGACCATCACTGACCAGTAGTGACCACCCCAAATCTCCAAACGTCAATGGTTCCTTCAGTGGTTCCATCAAAACATCATGGAGATGTTCAGGTGGTCATCACTGACACCAAACCATCACTGAGATCTTCAGGTGACCATCAGTCACCATCACTGACCAGCACTGACCAGCAGTGACCATCACTGACCACCCCAAATCTCCAAATGTCAATGGTTCCTTCAGTGGTTCCACCAAAACATCAATGAGATCTTTTGGTGACCATCAATGGTTCCATCAAACCATCACTGAGATCTTCAGGTGACCATCAGTCACCATCAGTCACCATCAGTGACCAGCACTGACCAGCGGTGACCAGCAGTGACCAGCACTGACCACCCCGGGTCTCCAAACGTCAATGGTTCCTTCAGTGGTTCCATCAGAACATCTCTGAGATGTTCAGGTGACCATCAATGGTTCCATCAAACCATCATGGAAGCCTTCTGGTGACCACCAGTGACCAGCACTGACCATCACTGACCAGCACTGACCAGCGGTGACCACCCCGGGTCTCCAAACGTCAATGGTTCCTTCAATGATTCCATCAAAACATCTCTGAGATCTTTTGATGACCATCAATGGTTCCATCAAACCACCATGGAGATCTTCTGGTGACAAGCACTGACCAGCACTGACCAGCACTGACCAGCGGTGACCACCCCGGGTCTCCAAATGTCAATGGTTCCTTCAGTGGTTCCATCAGATCTCCAAATGTCAATGGTTCCTTCAGTGGTTCCATCAGAACATCATGGAGATGTTCAGGTGGTCATCACTGACCATTAATGGTTCCACCAAACCATCACTGAGATCTTCAGGTGACCATCAGTCACCATCACTGACCAGCACTGACCAGCACTGACCAGCAGTGACCATCACTGACCACCCCGGATCTCCAAACATCAATGGTTCCTTCAATGGTTCCATCAGAACATCTCTGAGATCTTTTGGTGACCATCAATGGTTACATCAAACCATCATGGAGATCTTCTGGTGACCACCAGTGACCATCACGGACCAGCACTGACCAGCAGTGACCAGCACTGACCACCCCGGGTCTCCAAATGTCAACGGTTCCTTCAGTGGTTCCATCAAAACCATTGTTTCAGGTGTGCCCAGGTGTCCCCAGGTGTGTCCAGGTGTACCCCAGGTGTGCCCAGGTGTATCAATGTGTGTTTAGGTGTACCCAGGTGTCCCCAGGTGTGTTTCCAGGTGTGTTCAGGTGTCCCCAGGTGTCCCCAGGTGTGTTTCCAGGTGTGTCACTCACCGTTGATGAGGTAGGGGTGGTTGCAGCACTTGCGCAGCTCCATCATGGTGTTGGGCAGGTTGCACAGGTGTGACCCCAGGTGTGCCCAGGTGTGCCCAGGTGTATCAATGTGTGTTCAGGTGTGCCCAGGTGTGTCAGTGTGTGATCAGGTGTACCCCAGGTGTGCCCAGGTGTGTGACTCACCGTTGATGAGGTAGGGGTGGTTGCAGCACTTGCGCAGCTCCATCATGGCATTGGACAGGTGTGCCCAGGTGTGACCCCAGGTGTGCCCAGGTGTGTTCAGGTGTCCCCAGGTGTGTCCAGGTGTGTTTCCAGGTGCGTCACTCACCGTTGATGAGGTAGGGGTGGTTGCAGCACTTGCGCAGCTCCATCATGGTGTTGGG